TCAATATCAAAAGATATTCCTCCTTCTATCATACCAGGAAAAATGTGGCGTTTTAAGTTTTCAAGAAATCAGTATGATTTCTCGTAGGAATTTTAATTGATAAAATCGTAACCATCCACACAGATAGAAAAGCTTTCACATTGTATCATCGACCTCAAAACGATACAAGCCGATGACGAACCATAGGATTACACTATCGACGTCTATATAGAACACCTTTTTATCAAATGAGAATTAAAGATAAATATTTCTGTTTGATATTAAATACTATCTAGAAATGGTAAATTGTTAAATGGTTATGGCTTTTATTTTCTAGGTATGAAGTGTTCACATAATAGTCATATTTAGTGGTCAACGTATATACAATTTCGTTCGATTATATTAAGAAGTTCACTAATTTCGTGGTCCGCTTCATCTCAACTAAAAACCTTAATTAATGGTAATATATAATTGGTCAAGCGGACCACGAAATTAGTGAATTTAATGATTGAAAATGAAGTGTACTTCACTAAAGCTCTCCGTGGCCATTTCATTTGTCGTCGAGAATCCAATCCGATTACACGACATTTGAAAAATGGCAAAAAGGAGGGAAAATTCAAAAGGTGGGGTTGAGATGGGAAGTTGGTGTCCGAGTGGATCGAGGTCACGATAGCTCAAGTGGTAGAGCAGCGGCGTATCAAGCCGAAGGTCGTGGGTTCGAATCCCGCTCGTGCCATTGACTTTTTTATCTCAACTAAAAACCTTAATTAATCGTAATATATTATGAAGTTTTGGATGCTTGCGGTACACAATATAGAATTCTACAGGGTGGCCCCAATCGTTTCAGCCACACTTCCAGATCTTTTAGGAAATTGAACGCTGAGTAAAAAAGGTCCTATGAACCTGTTTCCGCAAACCCTTCAGTTCCGCGCTACAGGCAAAAAACCATGAAAAACCACGTTTTTTGACCTTATTCGTGAAATTGTTAGTAAACCGTTAGCCTGACCATAAAACATCTCGAAACAACATCTATAGAGGATTCATTTCTGCGTCGAATGAAATTAAAACCAGCCTGATCGGCAGAAAATTTCTTTTTTGGCGATTTTTCGAAGTTAGGAGGTGAAGGTGTACACAAAATTCACCATTTCTGACATTTTTATCGAAAATTCACAAGTTGAACACCCTATCGAAAAATTCTCCGTTACAAACCTCGTTTGTTGGTGATCGTATTCACATTAGACCAACCCTAGTCCGATTCATGAAACATTTGAATTTTGTCTAATTTACTGCTTTCCACCCAAATCGAATGTTACTGTTTTCTGATGGTACTGGTCCCTACTGAATGAAATAATGTACGAAAAATCTGAACTGAGAATTTTTTGATAGGGTGTTCAAGTTGTGAATTCATTCCAATAAAGTAAAATATAAACAACAGGCAAAATAAATTAAAAATTTATAAAAATAAACAATAAATTAACACAAACCAACACTCGATAGAAATATAGAGGTCTGGTGACATTCACTCCCCCAGAGTACTCGATATTCCTCGGGGCGGGGTCGAGCCCACTCCATTCGCGCTAATAACTCACTTTTGCTCTCCAGACATCACACACTCACCCCAGAGTACTCGATGTTCCTCTAGGCGGGGCTATAAGCAACCCCTTCCTTTCATAAATTAGTTTCATCCTAATATATTAACCCGACACAAACACTTCACACAAACACAAGCACAGCACAAACACACATAAACTATATACATTTGAAAATCCCTGTAGCCCTGAGGTACCGGTACAGCGATTTGTGCCCGCTGCCGTGCCCCAAGACTACGCACAGGTCCGACGATATTCCAAAATATTGCCTATAAACGTCGAGCCTTCTACAATTGTAAAGGTGCTCGATTGTTACTCTATCGTTGCATAATGGTCACCTACGCGGTCGCTTTCCTGCTAGAAGGTGCCCGTGCGTAATTCTTGTATGACCTATGTGTAGTCTTGTCAGTATGACCTTTTCCCTTTTTGATCCATTTTCCTTGAACCAGGGACCGACGTCTTCCTAACCTGCCACAGTTTGGCAGGGTTAGTTCTATTTTTCCGAGCCCAGCGGTTTTTCCATTCTTCTTTTATCGTATTTGAAATTAATAACTTGAGATCTAGCTGGGCGTGTAGGTTGGGAAGCGTCGTGAGATGGATTGTAATGTGTTTATTTTTTTTTAATTTTACCCCAAAATCAAAAAGTTTCGATCTACCTCTATTTTTTATTAAATATTAATTTCTTTAAGTTTGCATTTCTGGGCCAAAATTTTCACCAGGCTGAATCGCGCTTTAATAAGCTACATCCACAGGGTCTTGTTTGTTGTTGAGGAAATTATTGCAAAATGTGGAGAGGTTGTCGTTTTTCCGTTTTTTGCGAATAACTTCAGAACCGTTGCTCCAAATTAAAAACAGTTTGCCCCGTTGAATTTAGCGTCAAAACAGCTTTCGTCAAATGGACATTGATGAGATCTTGCTCTTTGAAATAATTAAGTTCTTATCTGTATCCTCTTATCTTGGAAAGTTGGATCAAAATGTTTCGTCTCACGAGAAACTAGACATCATAAAAAATTACGTGTATCGGCATTTATCATTGGCCCAATAAAAAATATACGTTGGAACGGAAGTAAAACTAACCATGCATAAAATCGCAACCCTAGAAGTTTTAGGCTTAAATGCTGGCACAGGCCATAATTTAGAAATTTGATCTCGTTCGCAAAACCCAACAGGTAGTTAGTCGTTAATCTCTCCTGTTTGGCAGTAATTACTAAATGCTTTTTATTCCATGACGAAAATTCGTGTCAGTCATAAACATACTGAATGCACGAAAAACATTCATACTTTTTTCCCTTGACATTTCGAGTTATTGTGGAACAGACTGTGCACAAACCATTAGCCTTAATTAATTACTAAAGCTATTAACTTAAAAGTGAGGCTTTGTACCCCGGCAGGTATGTATTTAATACCTCGTGAGAGAAAATACTTTATTCTGAGACAAAGAATAATAAGGTCAACAAATTTTTTTATAAATTTCGCGCTTGAAACAATAAACGTTTGTCATTAACATATACTGAAATAAATTGACATAAACCACATAATACAAAAGAATAATAAAGAATGCTCTGTCAGTGCGATCATAACCACAAACTGTTTTTTAAATGTTAAAAAAAGGAAGGAAAAAAGATTTTTTATATAGGAAAAAAACAATATTGTGTACTATATTGGGTCTGTTTGGAGGGAGATGAAATTGTTTGTAAAGGAGGGATTTATAAGAGGTAAAGGCGGCGGCTTTGCGGATTGAAAATCCTGAACACAAGAGGGGAAATATTAGAGCTTTGAGGAAACCTTAAGTTAAGGGTAGGAATGAGGATGTGTGTCAATTAGAATTGAAAGCGGCAGGTAAGGAAATAGTGGAACATTGGATTGGAGAATGATGAAAATTAGTTTGATAATATTTTGTTGGTCTACTGCGATGTGTAGGTGACTAGTAATTTTAACTAAGTCGAATGGGTGGAGAAATGTCGGAAGCCGGATTGGAGCGGGTGTGTGGGAAATTTGCTAGATAATTGGTGATATGACAATAAACCACATTTTCAAGGGGTTTGGACAGGTTAGATAGATTTGGGTCGGCCATCGTTAGGAGAAGTGGGTTGGGAGTTTTATTGCACAAGGGCTTTGTTCCAGGATAAAAGAAAAACGGAATTTCGGAAGAAATCTTTGTGGATAAGTAGTGGGGCTCGTAGTATGACTGGGAGGCATAGTTTTAGAAAGTTTAACAATTTGTTCGGGAAGCGTCAGGTATTATAGCCTTAATATGGGCTTTTCATATTGCGTTAACAAAAGCAGCAGGGGTTAGATAGGAAAAGAAGAAATTTGAATAATTATAGGGTGGCCCTGTTGATAATTTTATTGTTTTTGCATTGGAAGAGGAAGAACTATAGTTAACTATAGAACTATAGCAGATACCAAATGGGAGTTCAGATTATTGGGAGTGACTGGATAAGAAGAGGATGCGCTAGTAGGTTCACATAAACCGAGTGTGTTCGAAGAAGGTTCTATTTTGAACTAGCATCTGGTGTGGTGGTGAGGGCATCCTGGAAAAACTGTGCTTTGGGACGTCTAATGGTGGATTTGCAGCTTAAGGTGCGAAAAGAACCTATAGGTAGCAGATACAAATGGGAGTTCAGATTATCAGGAGTGTCTGGATAAGAAGTGGATGCGCTAGTAGGTTGACATAAGCCAAGTGTGTTCGGAGAAGTTTCTATTTTGATCTAGCATCTGGTGTGGTAAGTTTCGAAAAGAGGAATAGTCGTCAGAATATTTAGCGCTCCGAAAGCCCCTTTTTGCAGCTTCATGACTTTTTGTTAGCATTTTGATTACCTGGTTCATCCAGGGAGCAGGGGGTGACGGATTGTGGAAGTTTTTATAGAAGCGTGCTTATTCAAGATCTTAGGTTAAGAAGCCGACCATAGACTATATGGATGAACCATGATAAACTAAGTCCCAGTAAATTGCTTCTAGATCAGGTTTTATGGCCTCAAAGGTTTAAAGATTCAATGGGTCGGTATATAATTGTTTTAGACGTGGGGTGGGAATATTGTCAGTAAATAAAATCAGGGCGTGGGAAGAGAGAAAGAAAGCAGGGAGCTGGGAGGAAGCCAGTAATCATACTGGAGAGCCTGATACGATTGGGCTAAGCCAAGTGGTTGCCGAGGGTGCAAAGGGAACTCATGTAGGATTAAGGGAGAACCGCCAATTTTCAAGGAAAAGTTTATCACAGACCTCCGATACGCGTTGAAATCTTCAGTTATAATTATGTTGGGATATAGTGAGTTTTTAGATAGTGGACATAACCGGAAAAAAACTTGCGGGGGTCGGCCAAAAAAAAGCTCGAAATGTCTTCAGCCTAGCACACCTAATGGCCGGCCGACGTCCTCCGTCTGTTTCATTTCGGTTGGATTTATCAAAAAGACAACAAAGTTTTCGACATACCTTGAGGTTATCTCTGTACCATATGACACGAGGATTGGGGTCGCCGACAACTTGAACTCTGAACTTTACTGTGTCTCCTTCGACTACATCTGTACAGCATGGCTTCATTACGAATAAAGGCTTTTTGGAATACCTGAAATCATTTGCAAATCCATAAGAATTCTTAATTAAGTCTAATAAAAATATATTGTGATTTATGGCCAAATAATCTTCTCTAAATTTATTATTTTAAACTATTATATTCATGATTTTTTCAACGATTATGCAAACTGAAACAACCTTTCATATTTAAATTTTTTATTGAAAAGGAATAACCATTTAAGTATGTTTCACAAGTGTGTTTCTAACTATTGTATAAACTTTTAATGTAAAACGACAATTGAAAACTTATCACACCACGTCATACATATCATATCAACCTCCTAAAACGCAAATCGAATGCCTCCTTTACAAACAGAGAAAAAATGAATAAAATATGCACCGGATGCTATTTGGTCATAGAGTGGTACAGATCGTTTATACAAAAGCAAGAATAAATATATTTACGGTATGCAAGAGTATTTCTCCTTTGATGGAGAAGCGGGTCGCCTGATTACATGTACTGTACAAGAAGTGGTCGCAGATCCCGCAGGGGTTGTTGCTGTACATGTGTAAACAGCGGTGTCCGATACCATCAAATAAGCAATGCAAAGCTCAACTGTACCATCTGCCGAATAAGTCATCACTCTCTCTTTCCTAGGCCTCAGTTCAACACCGTCTCGGCTCCTTGAAAGTGATATGGATTAATTTATTTTTGCTGGCCATTATTGATATCTCACCATGTAATTGTTGGTCGTAGTGGTGAAATCAAAACCATCGCTGATAGCCTCATCGTGCTGCCTTCCGATACTTCCTTTGTCTCTTCCAGTTTGTGCAGAAACTCCGGCGGTTCGATCGGCCCCTCTATGTTCAAACAGCAAGACGTTGATACATAGCCTTGACTGTTTTCTGCAATGCAGCTGTATTCTCCGCAGTCTTCAGGTTTTACTTTTTCTATCTCAATACTATGATAATGGCCATCACTTAGTATCGTGACATTTCCTAAAAAATATTTACTTTTCTTGTGATTTTAAAGAAATAATTTTAACTTGGTTTTGTTAAAAGATAAAATAAAAACCTGATGTTGAAAGAAGTGTGTCATTGTTATTTTTCCATGTTACGGAAGGCTTAGGGTTGCCGGTGACATAGCAACTCAGCATGACAGTTGAAAACACATCCACTACTCTATCTCTGAGGGGCAGTGTAAACTCAGGAGCTTTTTCTACATCTACTGGTCTCCTTAAGACAAATATAAAAATAAAAATCTATTTCTATGAATTATGTTAAATTTTTTCTATGAAATAAAAAATGTAATCTTCTTCTATACTTTTTTAATGAACAGAATAAGTGACAATTAATTAAGGTTTTTAGTTGAGATGAAAAAAAGTTAATGGCACGAGAGGGATTCGAACCCACGACCTTCGGCTAGATACGCCGCTGCTCNTCGTGGGTTCGAATCCCTCTCGTGCCATTAACTTTTTTTCATCTCAACTAAAAACCTTAATTAATTGTCATGTATTAATTGGTCAAGCGGACCACGAAAATAGTGAATTAATGAACAGAATAAGCTAAAATAATTTGAGAATATGAAATTTTTTCGTGCTAGTTTTTTGATTCCAACCCGTTCCTACAGGACCCAATGCTAATCAAACCACATAAAAAATGAAAATAATGTTATTTACTTAATACAATATTTGCACTTGTAAATAACAAATAAAAGTATTAAAAATATCTTGTTTATTGAAGTGTTCAGACTTGATCAATTAATACAAGATGGTCATGTTTGCGTTCATATTAAGCAAGTACGTACTGTCCAAATTGCATTAAGCCTGATTTCTGCAATTAGCACATTTATAATTCAATCTTAAAATAAAAATTGTTCCCGATCAATAATTTTTCTTCTAGAATCGATGTGTAAAAAGAAGAATTATTTATTATTAGTATTGTTTAGAGGCGCAAACCTATAAATAGAATCGTCAATCCCAGTGAGGTCTGGTTTCGTTTCCACGCTGACAAAACAGTAACAAGTAGCCCTTCCTTCACTGTTGACCGCTTCCAAACAGTACAGTCCATTGTCGTCTTTTGTCGCATCGCATATCGTAAGACGATAAATGTCGTCGTCCCTTTCCACCATGATGCGTCCTACATCTTCGATGTCTTCTTGCCCCCTGGACCATCTAGCATCAGGAATCGGATATCCTGTAATCTTAACAAAATATTAATGTTATTTATCTTTAGAATTTATAAGTAAAATACATTAATTTGTACATAAAAAGACTATAATTATTTCCAGTTTTAATTAATTTATCTTCACTTATTGAAGCAGTATATGGGGTATTTGGGGTAGTCAGTGAAGCAGCCACTCACACAAGAAAGATCCAAGTTACCCACGACTGTTATGTTAAATATATTTAAATCGATTAAATCAGCGTTTCTTCAATTAAACAAAGAAAATATATCACCAGGTAATTTCTCCTTAGCTGGTAAAAAATTAACAGCATTTTCAACATGATATAGTTGCTTTAATTACACCAGGATCCCTTTCTACAATTCATTAGCGGGTTCTCATAGCTTATCGAAATATTGTTCGGAGATTTGCAATTCGATTTTGTCTTGAATATCAATAACATTTTTGTCTTCAGCGAATCTGTGAAAGATAATATAAAACACGTCAAAACCGTCCTCTATCAGCATAAAATTGAAATGTGTGGTGATTAGTGACAGTTAATCATATTTATTTAGAAATAGTGAGGTGCGGTCTGGTGTGATATAGGTTGCAGAAAACATTTTCTTTATGGTGCCACGTTTCGATCTTTATTGAGATCATCTTCAGGGACTGGGATTTACAAACATTGTTTAAATTTAACAAAAACATGTAGGATGTGGAAAAAAGTGAATATATACAATGCAAAAAATATATTTTTTTATATTCAATCAAAGTATTTCTACTCACTCACAGTGTTTGTTTTCTGCGTAAGTGTGCCATTCTTGCGTGTCGTGTTGAGAGTGCCAGTGAGATATTGCTGTTTTATGACTATCTAAGATATACTACCTTGGATTTTGAAGATTTTGAGATAAACACAGCATCAATTATTCAACATACATTTTTCCAAAATTAAAGATCCCACACCAATAACAAATAAATCTGTCGTAATCTACAAGATCAACTGTTTAAACTGTCCGGCAACTTACATCGGTCTTACATCCCAATATCTGGACAAGAGAGTAAAGCAACATCTATGATTGCAAAAAACCTAAGCAAAATCCTACTGCACTCGCGACCCACCATTTTGAACACCAACACTTCAAAAATCCAAAAGTATTACACACAGAACAAAGCAAACATAAACGTAATTTCTTAGAAATGGTTTATATCAACAGAGATAAACACAGCATTAATTACAGAACAAAACAAACCTAAACGTAATTTCTTAGAAATGGTTTATATCAACAGAGATAAACAGCATCAATTACAGAACAGGTACATGTAAACTCAGTCGCAGCTACGCCGATATCATTAATCAAATTCAATACAGATAACATACCTATATCATCACATTGCATTCCATACATGAAATATTTTTCATAGTCTAATTGTCCAACAATTAAGCTTGAATTAAGCTTTTCCTTTTCCTATTTACCCCTTTCTATATAATCCTGAAAGGATAATTTGGCCGAACCATTACCAACACATTTTTCTCCCTTCGTCGGCTCCTTTCACCTCAAAGAAGCCGACGCCTTATACAAAAATGTCTTTTCTTTACCGAAATCCTTCCCCACCCCTTCAAAATAGCAAAATCTCACTGGCACTCTCAACACGACACGCAAGAATGGCACAATTACACAGAAGACAAACACTTTGAGTGAGTAGAAATACTTTGATTGAATATATAAAACATATATTTTGCATTGTATAAATTCACTTTTCCACATACAAAATGTAATTGTTATATGTAAACAATGTTTGTAAATCCCAGGCTCTGAAGACGATCTCAATAAAGAGTGAAACGTTGGCACGATAAAGAAAATGTTTTTCTGAAACCTACATCACACCAGACCGCACCTCACGATTTCTAAATAAATAAAATTGAAAATTGTACATAATTTCTTTTGTACAGTAAATACACTTACAGTGGACCATTCAAGTTGTACATTTTCTTTCTCAGCCCTAGTACGATTTATAGGTGTATCATTAATGAAATAAGTAATTTGTGGATTTCTGCATGAAGTAAAATACTTTATTTGTCTTGTACGACATGGATTATGTAAATTTTAATTTTATGATGTAGCAAAAAAAAAATCGAACTAAACAATTATATTGTATTAATATAATTATATTACAGTATTTTATAATTTTAATAAAATAACAAAACTCTGGTTATTTGCACGGTTAGGCAGATGAAAATGTGCGCGTTTTGTCATTATTGTTATACAAAATTAATACCTATTTTGATTTTTTCTTTATTAAGAACATTATTTTGTAAAAAATAAAAATTTACACATACATATTTAAAAAAAATGGCAAGGAAAAATACAATTTCATTTTCAAAATGCTCAAGTACAACACTTTCAAGACAATGACTTTATTAACCTATAAAAAAATAACAAGTTTAATTTTTTTTAACTTTTTTGTTATGGTTTTTGTTTATCTCACATTCTCGAATGAATTTATTTATCATTACATACCAGTATATCAGTTCAAATTGATAAAACTTGAGCAATAATAAATATATTTTGGTTTGCATTGTCAAATGTTTTTTCAAAGTCCATCTAAATTATTTCGATCTTGGATTGTTCATCAATGGAATTAAGACGGTGGGAAGTAAAAAATTAATAATTTTCTAAATATCCTGTCGTTCTGAGGCTACAAGAACAATTTCACCGTTCTAAGATTATCCAAACAATACCCAATTTAATATTGAAGAAATGAGTCAACTGAGGAGGCAATCCACTAACAAATCCCGTTTTCATAATGAAGTCCGGGCTTTCCTTACACAATACAGGACCAGAAGTATCTCTTCTCGGCCTTCAAGGGCTAACATGTCCCGGTTGACAAGGGGCCGACCAAGATGGCGGGTCACGTATTTGGACCAAACTCCTTTTTGTGATAGCGCATTACAAAATATCGGACACCTATCCGCACTTTTTGTGAATAGGCTCTTGTCTCACCAGGGTGACGACAAATTTGAAAGTTGAAACTTTTCGTTTTTTAATATATTTATTTCTCCGTTCTACTTGCTCAAAACAATTATTTGAATATATCAATTTTTAATTACAATAAAAAAAATTGTAAAAACTATCAAAGTTTATCAATAACAAAAAACTCCTAAAAACCAAAAAATTTGCAAGGAAACAAAGTTAGATTTGATTTCGTGAAACGAATATGAAATTGCGTTTTAGAACCTCAGGAGATCCTAAATATAAATTTTATTTTAAATTTAATTGAACGATTTTTTTACCCACTATGATTTTTCCGATTTTGAGAAGTCGTTATCCGAATATCTGATTGAAACGACTTTAAAAAAGCTTAAAAGGATTTTAACTTCATACATACCGATTGAAAGATCTGAAACATAGCTTTTTAACGACATGTACCAATAAACTATGTAAAATATTTCTAGTAGAAAATACCCTTTGTCTTAAATTAACTTTTTTTTTAAAGTAGAAAAGGCAGATCGATTTTAATGTTTCATACAGTAATCAAATGCATTTGACAATTTCTTTAAAACGAATTATCATCAATGAAAATCGGTCCAATAGCTTTTGTGTAAAATGATGTTAGAAGTTATACGAGAAATGCCAGTCATGCGGACCGTATTAATATGGTTATCGAAATTATTAGTAAAAAAATTAATTATACCGATATCCACGAAAGTCTGTATTAAGGGTTTTATACAGCAATTTTATAATCAAAACAATGATTACAAATCCAAGTTTTGACCATTTCCTGGTCAACTTTGGTTACAGAATGTTTGCTAAAATATAGAAAAAGCAGGTTTTTGTTGATTTATCTTTTTAAATCATACCAACTTACAATTCACTAATTTCGTGGCCCGCTTGACCAATTATTTTTTTGACCAATTTTTATCTCAACTAAAGACCTTAATTAATTGTAATATATTAATTGGTCAAGCGGACTACAAAATTAGTGAATTTAATGATTAAAAATGAAGTATACTTCACTAAAGCTCTCCGTGGCCATTTCATTTGTCGTCGAGAATCCAACCCGATTACACGACATTTGAAAAATGGCAAAAAAAAGGAGGGAAAATTCAAAAGGTGCGGTTAAGGTGGGTAGTTGATGTCCGAGTGGATCGAGGTCACGATAGCTCAAGTGGTTGAGCAGCGGCGTATCAAGTCGAAGATCGTGGGTTCGAATCCCGCTCGTGCCATTAGCTTAGTTTCATCTCAACTAAAAACCTTAATACCAACTTACAATATTCTGCGTCGGACACGTTTCTGTTTTTATATTACAAACAATGAAATTACTATACCAAAAATAATACTTTTTCAATCTCTAAATAACGATTTATGCTCATTTAATTTGTGACAAAAATGAAATTTTGAAAAAACTTCATTATACCGATTAAAGTGATTTATTAAGAATTTTCTCAAGTCTATTTATAATCAACAAGTTGTAATTGCAAAAGTGGGAATATTAAGTAGGAATTACTTATTCTTACTTGTCAACTAAGACTCTAGTTAGGAAGCAAAGTCCAGAAATTATTTTGACGTTAATTCATGCAGTTCAGTAATCGTACATACATCCAATAGTCAAAAATATTCATGCAGAAATCTTCAGAAAATGGTGAAAACGGCTTTTTTGACAGATAATTTCGACCGATAATTTTCTGCCTGAGTGACATTCCTAGTGCATGCTGTAACATCGTTTATTCTCAAAACCTTGTAGACCGATTTTCATGGTTGATAATTCGTTAAATTAAGTACATTTTATAACTGTATTAAAATTAACGATTAATTAAGGTTTTTATTCGAGATAAATAAGTCAATGGCACTAGCGGGATTCGAACCCACGATCTTCGACTTGATACGCCGCTGCTCTACCACTTGAGCTATCGTGACTTCGATCCTCTGGGGCACTAACTTCCCATTTCAATCCCACCTTTTTGAATTTTCCCTCCTTTTTGCCATTTTTCAAATGTCGTGTAATCAATTTGATTCTCGGCGATAAATGAAATGGCCACGGAGAGCTTTAGTGAAGGATACTTCATTTTAAACTTATTAAATTCACTAGTGAAAGTAAAAGTAAAAAAGTAAAATCAAATTGATTACAGGACATTTGAAAAATGGCAAAAAGGAGGGAAAATTCAAAAGGTGGGGTTGAGATGGGAAGTTAGTGTCCGAGAGGATCACGAAAGCTCAAGTGGTAAGTAGCGGCGTATCAAGCCGAAGACCGTGGGTTCGAATCCCGCTATTGACTTTTTATCTCGACTAAAAACTTTAATTAATTGTATGATATTAATTGGTCAAGCGGACCACGAAACTAGGGAATTAAAATTAACATTAAAATCGGGCTATTATTTGTATTTGAAAAACAAGGTAAATTTATGACAAAAAATTTTGCTATTTACTGTATTAATATGTATTATATTTTAATGGTACTCAATAAAAAGCTACTCTTTTTTTAACAGTTTTTGAATTATAACTATGTCAATAACATCGTCCGACTTTTCAAAAATCGCAAACATTTTGTAGTTCAAAAAATCGGTAAATTAAGTTAAAACTAAAATTTATATTTAGGGATCTCTAAAGGTTTAAAATGCAATTTCCCAATGGTTTGACGAAAAAAAACTTTATGACATAATTTCCTTGAGAAATATTTGATTTTTAGAAATTTTTTGGTTATTGATAAACTTTGATAAATTTTAGCATATTTTTATTGCAATCTACATAAAAATGCTGTAAAAGAATATATTTGCATAGTTGATTTGAGTAAGTAGAATGGCAAAATATAAATATTAACAAACGGAAAATGTCAATTTTTACTTTTCTGTGTGAAATCACAGATACGTGTTAGATATTTTGGAATATAGAATCACCGTCAAAGTTTGGTCCAAATCCGTGATCCACCTACCTGATCGTCCCCTTGTAAGATCAAACTGCAATAAAGGACCTGGTGTATTTGACAAAAGCTCTTCTACCATACTTCGAAATTATATAGTGATGAAAATTCACATATGTTTTACCTGGCATGCAAGGACGAGATGGTTACCGTACGGCCTGCATTCAAGATTCGTCACACAAATCGGTGGGCTAGGATCTGGCCGGATGTAGTACATAGGACTTTGTCTCGGCGGGCCGTAGCCGTGGATATTGCTCGCGCTCACCCTCAACCAGAGTCCACCGTCCTCGAGGCCACATACGTCCATATGGCAATTCGGAGACAAACCGAGCTGAAAAACCCAACGCTTTATTCGGGGTTATTATTAAATTGAAATTCCCCTACCTTTATCCATTTTGAAGGCTTGTCTTCATACGCGACTTCAAGGCGGTACGCAACGATGGCGGACGTTCCGACTGCAGATGGGGCTCCCCACGAGACCGTTGCCCTCCCTCGTCCAGTCATCTCCAACTCCGGTCTCCCACATTCTCCCGGACATTCTAGAAAAAATGTTTCGAAAAACGCTTTATTAGTTAGACATAATATTAGCGCTGGTGTATTCACTATTATGTTTTTTGCATTAAAACATCAACCACTGTTCTTAACTAATCAATAGGTCGCTCCGTATTTTCTGAATAAATGTCAAAATAGAAAAAGACAAATTAAAAAATCAAATCCACAAATATCTTTCTACTAATTTTTTTAGAATTTGCACACTGGTTGCCAATCCAAAACGCATTTTGCGATAAGAAAACACCACCATGGCACTTTGGAATTATGTGATAATTAGGGTATTAAAGGTCATAAATCATACCAGTGGGGTTTGCTATGTAAAATAACTATTTTTGTGATTAAATCTCTATTATCGGCTACCAATCTATAGACGTTTTTGTGTTCATTGGTCGGAGGCGTCGCTGGCCGCAACTGTTTATACGCTGACATTTATCAATGGAAGACTCTCGACGCGGCAAATGTTGCAAATTAATTGACTAAGGAAAAGAAATATAAGATATGATTGGGTAAATATTTCTTTAAATTCTTTTCTGTTTAAAGAATCATTTAGGGGGAAATTAGTTTAACATATGAAAATACTAAACTAAAGTAAAGAAATAAATATTACCAATAGACCCCTCAGAAAGTGTCTTGTTTAAGGTAACAAGCAGTGTAAAATTGAAAATTTTAAAATAAGCAAACACGCCGTAGGACGCCAAGCGTTTGCAGCTGCCAATTTTGCAGTTAATAGAACTGCTTTCCTGCCTGTTTATAACAAATGCATTACGTAAAAATTAAACTACCAATTACGCCATAAATTCATAATAAAAAAAAAATCTGTCTGACCTGTTTACAAGAATGATTAAGAAAGATTGGCCACATTTTTTGGTAAAAATCCAAGCGTCGGCACTATTGACACTCAACGGCCTGAAACGCGAATATTGTGCCAGTGATTCATACACGTCTGACCTAGACACAGAAATACCTGATGATGAAACACCTGGGGGGGGGGGAACCTAATACTTAGAGCGTTCAAACTATTTCTCCCAAGTTACACTCTAACGTTATAATGTTTTCAGGCATTTCGGAGTCTGCAATTATTATATTCGAATTGTATAAATAAAATTAACATTTTGAACGCCTCATTTATAAATTTATTGCTTATTGATAATAAAATCAACTAATTACTTATTGGTATTCTAAACGTTGTTTAATTGCAAAAAAACTTTACATGTCCTTTTGTGTCTATCCCCCTTAAGGCAAATGCCCAAAAGATCACTTCCTTACCATGGTTAGGCTCCAACGGGGTATCATCGACAGCTAGGTCATCGGCTCCAAACGCATGCAAACTATATTCTCGCCTAATACTATTTAAATTGAATAAAGCAGTCGCACGAATAAATACACTCATGCATGCACTCATTCTGATTAGTCAGTGGAGTACTTGATATACCTCGACTTATATACAGTATTAATAATCAATCTAACAAAAATTAGGGTTGTTTAGGTACTTTTATCAATAGTCCGCTATCAACCCTAAACACACACACTGCTGGAGGGGCGACGGTGTTGTTAAACAGGGTGTCCTTTTTAGAAGCCACCATAAAGCAGTCGTGCATATCATCTCGCTGTTGATCGGAACAATATAAAAACAAGGGACGCCTGTATTTCACCGTCACCCTTCACCACTCACACTAATAAATACAACTACAAATGCAATATGCGGGGCTCTGTTGGGGCTAACGTTATATTACCTAGCTACTCATGGAAAAAAAAATAAAAAAAATATACAAAAACCGAAAAAAGAAAAAGCTTACCGCCGTAGTGGTATATATAAAAAACAACAACAAACGTAATGATTTCTGTTTAATCTGGATGTGTCACAAAGGTCTTCTTCTTTCACAGTCTTGAACAGAAGATAGCCGCCGATTCCTTCCGTTGTCGGGAGGGGGTCCTGAGCCAATGATGCACCGAGGTTCTGTAAGTACGCGAAAAGCCACACCTATGAGCTACACCTATGAACCGTCTGGGTAGAAACCCGCGTGGACCTTTTCAAGAACTCCAGAAGATGGACATACATCCTCACCACGATGAGAAGAATTCGCTTCCGTCGAAAAGATAAGAGTGCGGAAGTCAAAGTAGAAAGGCTCAACTCATCCTCCCAACCAAGAACGTGAAAGCAGGCTCAGCAAGAGGGGCTGAGAATTACACGAGCCCACTCAAAAGGTCAATGAGGTCCACACCGGGTAGGGCGAATGGAGGAAGATATCCCAAATAGGGGTGATCGATCCAATTCATCCCAATGACAGAAGGATACCTCAGGTCAACCTCAAGCATGCAAACGCGCATCGGCAACACTATACAGAAAGTTTGACAGGGAGGACCTGAGTGACGCCATGGACCAAGCACCTTGGGTACTTAAGGGGATTGTGAAAGGAATAAAATTCCAATATACCAAAGGACATCAACAAGCCCCAGGCTTGTATTGTGTTTAATACAACAATTAGCTTCAAACTAAATTATGTTCTAGCTATTCTAATTACAGCAATCCTAAGAGCAAAGAATACGGGCGGAAAATGACGACGGCTAGCTGCTCGGTTGCTCGGCCTACTTCCCAAGTAAGGAATTGAGCCAACTCAAGTTGCTGGACGACATAGTGAGGTACGCCAAAAAGAAAACATGAAACTAATTTTGAAATGTGATGCAAATGCTCACCATATTGTATAGGGAAATACGGAGATCAATGAGGGTTAGTCCTTATCAGATTACCTTTAGTTTTAGACCTGACATTACTTCTCAAGGAACTACTTCTCTCTGAAAACTGGAATATATCCAGGAAACATCAAACTCTGATCATAGGTTGATCAGGTTTAATTGAACATTCCTTCTCTCATAGAAACAACGTACAGGAGCCCTAGACACTCCAATTGGATAGAGAAGAACCCTCCAACAATCCTTACAAAGTGTGAACAAGGAATTGAGCCTAGAAATTCCTATGCAGGAAATAACCAACGCCACATTAGGCTCCTAGACCGAAAACTGCACAGAAGAAAGAATTGTGCAAACCAAAATTAGGACGACCCATCGACTACAAACGTTTTAGAAAGACTGTTGGAGAACCACATTCGAGAGACATCGCTGAAGAAAAAACCTCTCAATGAGCGACAATTCGCATACCAACGAGATATCTATAGAGCTAGCCCTGGATGACCTTGGTAAACGCAGAACCACGACCATAACAGACAAGGTGATAGGAATTACATTTTTCATGGATATAGAGGGAGGTTTTAACAACGAAACCCCAGTCTCTATATAAAGCAAAGTCTAATTCCTGCTACACTGACGGCTCCAAAACTTACAAGGGTCGGGGGCTGGAGTCTTCGGGTGAACCCAAAGATTGAACTGACTCTAAACTTGGGTTAATTGCTACAGTTTTTCAGTCTGAAATCATTGTGATTGAACACTGCGCCTGGGAAAAACGGCTATGAATACCTTCCCGGAAGATAGCCATCTTCTTTGACAGACAGACAGCACTAAAGCCCAAGCAAAGAGTTTGGAACTGCATGTAGGCCCTGGCAGAAAGTCATCGGCACCACTGGTCTGACCCTGTCATGAGTCCCGGGTCGTTTAGCGCATAGAGGCAATGAAAAGTTTTCATGTTGGCCAAAGAGGGAGCCAACATGGACTCTCTAGGTCCCAAACACTACTGTGTACCTAAACGTAGCATCTTGCCACAAAAGGCCATAAAAGTTTATACATCCTGAAAGGGATGTATTAGTGTATGTATGAGTCCAAAGTTTGATGGAATAACCTTAGGCATGAACGCAAAGAGATATTGCCATCCGTAAAACTTACAATGGAATTACTGGGAGGCAACCGCCATCGAACTACACCGGCACCGGATTAGAGTACAGCCAGAAGGAAAACTGTTCGGATACTGCCAACAGGAGAAGGACCAGAAAAGCCGCAAGCAATATCTAGCACTAAGGAGCCTCTTTTTTTCTCACCGTAACTGTGAGTAGGAACTATCTTTTTAAAAAAGGACTGAACACCGCACTCACTCCATCTTTCATCATTTCTACTAAGGAACTCTGTCAAGCCTATGGAGGTTGATTAACAACCTGAAGTTATAAAAAGTTATAAAACAGAGGAGCACGATAGATCTACTCAGGTCGAGGTGTAGGTCTTGTGGCCACCCTTCACGTTCATATTAAAAAACACTCAGTCCTTTCATCAAACTTTCGAGGAATATATCCCCTTTATCAGGACTCTAAAACTATTTATAATTCTCTAAATTCACTAATTTCGTGGTCCGCTTGACCAATTAATATATATATATCAATTGATTAAGGTTTTTAGTTGAGATAAAAAAGTCTATGTCACGAGCGGGATTCAACCCACGACCTTCGGCTAGATACACCGCTGCTCTACCACTTGAGCTATCGTGACGTCAATCCACTCGGACACCAACTTCCCATCTCAACCCCACCTTTTGAATTTTCCCTCCTTGAAAAGGTGGGGTTGAGATGGGAAGTTGGTGTCCGAGTGGATCGAGGTCACGATAGCTCAAGTGGTAGAGCAGCGGCGTATCTAGCCGAAGATCGTGGGTTCGAATCCCGCTCGTGACATTGACTTTTTTATCTCAACTAAAAACCTTAATTAATTGATAACTATTTATAATGAATTACTGGGCTAATAATATTCATATATTTAATCCACATAATTAATAAAAAATTATTATATACATACTTTTTAGTAATATACCTATAATAGATATCATGTATAATTAAGATAATGCATGAATACAACTTCATATTTATTACAATCCGCAGCTTTTCCATTAATTCAGTCCAAACGGTGTCTGTGTTGTGGCCACTGAAATCCAGTCACACATCCGTCCGGATTTTTGGATTCTGTTTTAATTGCTGCTTGGTTATTCAATAACATGAGGCATCACAAGATAGGCAATACAATTTATTAATGATATTTCTTTTATATACTTCGGGTA